ATACTATCTAAAATGGAATTGCCAAATAAAAATCATGAAGTCAAATTTTAATTTCAGATAAACAACAAAAATAACAGGAAATATCAGATATAGTAATACTAAAAAAATTATTCATTGTTTATTTAAATTTAACTGGGCATCCCATATTTTTATTTACTAAATCTTGCAATCTCTATCTAAAGCCCATGGTTTGTGATGAAAATATCTAAGCAAAGAAAGACGGTCTGCCATCCCTGCACCTAACAACCGGACACCAAATTTGCAAAGACCTACTCTGAAGGCCATAGCACTTTCATAGTCATAAGTAAAATAACCAGCAGTTGAAAATGGGCAGGGCATGGTCACTCTTTTAGCTTCTAAAATCTCTGACACCACCATCAAGGAAATAGTAGGTGCTTAGGGCCAAGTAGGTACAGGTACTATTTCCTGGAGAGTATTTACGTCCACATCCAGGACCTAGGAAGGAGGTGTGGGCTTTCTGTAGGTTTGTGGGACAGGATCAAAGCTGTGGTTAGTGGACAGCAGGCTCCAGGTGCATCAGGCCATTGAACTTGAGAAGCCTGTGTTGCTTCCTCTCTGGAAGTTATCTTGCTTTGGGAAACCACCCAACACCCTGACAAAGCACTCTATTCAGCAGAGGAAAGACAGAAAAATAATCATGTTCCAGACCTCACAAACTTTTGAACCCAGTTCAAAAGCCTCCTGTTTATTCCCTAAAATGAAAATTGGTTACAATAAAATTACTAAAAATGCTTTCACTGGATGACAAAATAAATTTAGTTTCTACAAACTAAAAAAAAAAAAAAAATTCAGTTATGAAACATAGAGACACACCCAATTTTCTGGGAGAAATGTGTAATGTAAGTCAATGTTATCACACGGGCATGGTGTGCGTGCCCTTGCTCAGAATGAAAAGATTGGCTTTAGAAAAAGAACCTGTGAAGAAGAATTTGGAGAACTGACGTTGCTTCCTATGACATGCCATGACCAAGAAGGCCAACAATTAATATATTAATTACACTGTAGCTAATACCTTCCTTTTACATATGAACTAAAGTCTAGATTTTTGTAGCTGCTCTCATTAATTGATTTAATTAATTCAATAATTCATTTGTTTATTTAGTAATATATATTATTTTACTTTTGGCACATGGCTAGATTTAAACAAAGGAACTCATGTATAGTAATAGATGCAGAAATGCAAACAATTAAGCAATGGAAATAGTAGGATCTAAGAACACGAAAGAAAAACGGGAAGAGAGGGGGAGAGACACACAGACAAGAAAGATAGAGAGAGAGAGACAGACAAAGATAAGCAGAGATACTGAGAGACATCTTCTCCCTGGGAATGAACAATTTAAAAATACTGTTACTTCTCCTTCCCTGGAAATCTGCTTATAAAATTTCCTATAGATAAGTTAAAATGGGTTAATTTTCTATTCATGGGAATGCTGATGTGTATTTTTCCTTTTTTTTACATTATAGATTTTTTATTTTCTCAAGACTCTGGAGAAGATCAACAGGGAAGGAGCTAACCCTTTTTACAGATGGGAAAACTAGGACACTTAAGCAGTTGATCACTTCATATAGAAACAGTGGTGACAGATTGCATATGTTTTCAGAATAATGATGATGCAAAAAGGAAAAGACTTAACTTCAGATATATGAAGAAGGACTATCATTTCCAGAGGAAAAGGTGAGAACTCCTGTTTACCATGATCTGACAATGAGAAGAATATGTGAAATGCGGTTTATTCACAAGAGCAAATCCAGGCAGCGAAGCCATGATGTTCAGGAATCAACGGGGGAGGTCTCAAAGAAAGCCGCTTCCCACTGTTTCCGGTGACTGGCTCTGCCTCTGTAAATTCCACACACTGCGCCTGAGGGGCACTTCTAGATAAACAACACACTGCACCGTTTAAAATGTGTAATGATGCTCCTGTTAGTAATATATTTTCAACTCTATCTACTGGCACCATGCTTGCTAAGTGCCGTATAAATATTTTAATTCTCACAAAAATCTCATAATGCTAGTGTCATCATTTTCAAGTTTCAGAAGAAGATCACCCAGCTTTTGTAGTAGTGGTTGACGCATATCCTATATAATAAAAGCCTAAGTGTCATCACGCACTCGCGCAACATCGCCACAAGATGGCCGGCAGGGGAGGGCAGTTGGGAGTGAACAGGCCAGGAGGGGAGGACAATTGTGGGTGATCAGGCCAGCAGGGGAGGGCAGTTGGGAGCGAACAGGCCGGGAGGGGAGGACAATTGTGGGTGATCAGGCCAGCAGGGGAGGGCAGTTGGGGGCGAGATCATGCCAGCAGGGGAGGACAGTTGGGGGTGATCGGGCTGGCAGGGGAGTGGTTAGGGGGCAATCAGGTTGGCAGTCAGGTGAGCAGTTAGGAGCCAGGGTTCCCGGATTGTGAGAGGGATGTCCCATATTGGAGAGGGCACAGGCCAAGCTGACAGACACCCCCCGCCCATGCACGAATTTCATGCACCAGCCTCTAGTTTGTTATAAATGCAGGTGTGCCTGACTCTAGGGCTAAAGTTCAATCTCTATATTTCTGGGGACCAGGGAATGAATGATATGCTAAGTTTAATGTGCAAGGAAAGATCATCTATTTTGAAGCAGGAGTGACCTTTCTGAGGCCTCTGAAATCATATCACAGAATAATGCCTGTTGGAATGTGTGCCCCTGCAGACATAAAATCTGAATAACGTTGAGGACTTTTTCCAAGGACTGGCACCTCCCACCACACAGTCCCCTCTTTCTTCATGTCCTCAAGCAATAAAGTTGAGAACCACTGTTCTAAGCGGTCTTACAACCCAGTGAATAATAAGCAGTGTCAAGCTAACATTATTAGAGGAGAGAAAAAAAGGCCTTCTCTGAGTCTCTAGATTATGTAAGGAACAATGTTAGATGTTTCTCAAATACCAATCAGTTAATCTCAAGTAGTCTGTTTATTGTACTCCTGTATTTTGAAACACTTAGACTTTAAGAGCAGAAGTGATCATTATATAATAGATGCAGCTCAATATTTACTATCAAATAAACATTCTGATAAATTCCCAGTTAGAAATGACTACATTTGCTGTTGTCAGGTAGGTCTGGCAACGTTTTGCTATTCTATATTTTGAAAAACCAGAAACATAAAAGAGCTCTTTGAATTTTAGTTGTGTGGATCTCTGAATGGAAAGAAATACTGGTCTAGGAAGCTTTGACTAGTGAAGCTGGACTTTTATTCTGAATGAAGTAGGGTAAGTCTTACTTTCAAACTGTTACTGCATGTACCTACTGCTTTCAAGTGGTGAGCCTCCATCACTGGAGGCATAATAACAAAGTAGTTGAAATCAACTCCTTTTGATATGACACATTTGTTTTGGTCCTTGGATCTTCCATTTATGTGGTTGTAAGAAATTTTATAAGCCCCTGATTGTGGTGTTCTCACACTTTAAAAGAGGACTAATAGTATCACATATGAAGCCATCCTACCTGATATGTTTGGAATAAATAGTTGATGGATCAAACAAAGTTACTGGAAACATTAAATTCAAATTTAATATGACAGTAATTTTAGCTATTTTATTTGAATCTAATTTTATTGAATCCTTCCAAGGAGTTGAACTATTCTTTCTTTTCTCAACCATGTTCTAGAGCAGTGATGGCGAACCTTTTGAGCTCGGCGTGTCAGCATTTTGAAAAACCCTAACTTAACTCTGGTGCCGTGTCACATATAGAAATAATTTGATATTTGCAACCATAGTAAAACAAAGACTTATATTTTTGATATTTATTTTATATATTTAAATGCCATTTAACAAAGAAAAATCAACCAAAAAAATGAGTTCGCTTGACACCTCTGACACACGTGTCATAGGTTCGCCATCACTGTAGAGATTTAGCCAATTAATTAAAGAATGCATATTATTAATTAAATTGCATACATATTACATAATATTTAATTATTTTTTACATATTTAATTACATATATAAACTGTAATTTGAAATATATGTGGATTGATGCATAGATAGATTGGTAGACAAATGGGCAGACAGACAGATTTATAATATTTGTAAGAGAAGGCTTTCAATACTATCAAGTTTACTACTTAATCAACTTCCTGGTACATCAAAAGGTATTAAACAGCAACCCGAATGCACTATTCTTACAGTTTTTGAGAAATCATGAACTCCTAAGATAACCTAACAAGAGCTGGGACATTTTCCTCAGAAAAATAAACACACCCACATATATTTAAAGTACTTATAAGTATTTTTAGAGGGCACAGAGACTCAACAAGTTCATCCTGTGGTTCTGATGGATCTATGCTCTTAATTAAGAAATATATCTTCGCCAATGTGAGAAGCAATGACTACTTTATAAATAGGTTTATGTTGATGGAATGCTTCAGAAAGAGTTGCAAACCTCTGCAATTCCTAATGTTTGGACTTCCTTCTTGCGCATAAAGTTTTAAGACCCAGAAAGCTAAATCTATACTCAAACGGGAGCAAAATAAAAATATAAAAGAAAACCAATTGAATTCTAACTCAATGTGAGTTTCCAAAGCCATTTTTCTCCTCAAAATTAATTAAACTACAGAAGTACTCTTAACCATGCGCCACTTTAAAGATTACCTGACATGCCAACTGTAAGAGAACCACTTTCTAGTACTGCACTGTCCAATACATTAGATACTAGCCACACATAACTACTTAAATTGAAATTAGCTAAATGTATAATTTAGTTTTTCAATCACACTAGCCACATTTCAAATGTTCCATACCCACATATGGCTTGTGGCTACTGTTTAGGGCAATGAAGAAAACATTTTATTACCTTAGATCAGTGGTTCTCAACCTTGGCTGCACATCAGAATCACCTGGGAATCTTTTTAAAATCCTGATTTCTGGGCCTCATCCTCCAGAAATTCTGTTTCTTTGTTACTAATGTTGTGGCCCCACCCCATAACAAAGAAACAGAATTTCTGGAGGATGATGCCCAGAAATCAGGATTTTTAAAAGATTCCCAGGTGATTCTGATGTGCAGCCAAGGTTGAGAACCACTGCCCTAGAACGTTCTAGAACACCCAAGTATTTCTGTTCCCAACAAATGATTTGTATGCTTTCTGGTAGGTAGTCAATTATGTCTATTCCCAAACCAATCTATGCCTGTTGGGTAAATATGAAATTGTATAATGTAATTAAATACTATACAAACAAATTTAAGTATGAGTAAAAATAATATTATTTTTATTAGCATAAAAATAATAAGAGATGATATATACTGGAGAATTTTTGAAATTCAGTCCCTTTAAAACTGCTATCAAGCCTGGCCGGTAGGGCTGAATTGGTTGAGCTTCGTCCTGTGTACCAAATGGTCATCGGTTCAATTCCTAGTCAGGGCACATACTCAGCTTGTAGGTTCTAACCCTGGATGTGTATGGAAGGCAACTGATGTTTCCCTCTCTCTCTCCCTCTCTCTTCTTGTTTCTCTAAAACCAATAAAAACATATTTATAAAAATGCTATTGAGTTAGATGTAGGTAGAACAAATTAAAAAAAATTAGAAAAATCATAGAGAATATGGGATTCTGCTTTCAGATTTCTTTGCATTGGATTTATACTTAAATACATTTATGAAACAACAAAAATTATAATTCATAGACGATGCATTATGAGATTTACAGAAAGAAAAATGATGAAAATCTGTGAACAGCAACCAAAACTCAAAATATTTCTTGGCTTTGATAAAAACACTAGCCAATAAATATATAATCAAGCTTTCAATTATTTTTCAAGTTTTAAAATTTAAACAAAATATGTATTTTATGTATATGTTAATTTTTAATATCTGTTTCTTCAAAAATCTTTGTGGATTAACTGTTAAATTACTGACTCCAATTGTATTAAATAAGAATGTGCTACACATTGCAAAATTACAAACACATGTCTCTTTCATTACTATAAACTCAGTGTTGTTATAATTGGTTGTATCATTTCTACTTACCAGATTTTAGTTTATCAGATTAAATTACAATGTAAGACAGGAACCTGATCTAGTTCTAGTTCTAGATTTATGCACAACTGGTTCTTTAATTATAGCACAATAAAATATAATTAACAACAATAAGTAACAACCAGTTACTTTACTCTTCAATTATATCCACTTGTCTGAATGTAAGACTATATTGAGATGAGAACACTTGAACTTTGTGTTCACTTTATTTAATCTTTTGATTTTTCTGACTTGAAATTGCTATCTATCCATCTGTCTTTAGCATTAATAATGAGGAATAAGAAGTATATGTATTTTATTGTTTTGTACATTGAGAATTAGATGCAGATGGAACCTAAAACTACATACCTATACTACTACTAGGACCTCTACACTTACTTCTACTACATTTCTTTCATTAAAATAGGATCAAGACAATATTGCAATTGGTAGGTATTGCTTGAACAATGAATATTCTTTCATTAGTTAATTAAAGTTGAGAAAATATACATACTATCATGGAGCATACATGTCTATTTAAAATAACAGCAACACACATATTTGAAATAACACATAGAAGTGTGTAAGAATTTATCCTATATATACACTTTAGAATTATTGAACATATAGATACTCTCAATTGTATAGTTCCATTGTAAAAATGCTGTTAGGTTTATCAAAAGAACAGATTTATTGAAGCTTTGATGTACAATGTGATGCTTGCATACCAAAATGGAAAACTGGCTGCCCTCATGGGCCAAATTTAGATTGACAGAAATCATTTTGGAATAACTTGAAAGTGAGTATGCCTTCCTTGGTCTACCACAGTTTCCATTATTTCCTTTTGTCTTAAAGTCTATCTTAGTATATGTGCTGCCGAAGTGAGCACAAGTCTATCTTATTATACTTCTTAGATCCTGAAGTTATTTAAGTTCATGAAACTTATATAACATAATTATATCTTGCATATTTCATGGGGAGGGCATAAGCAATTGAGTTCTTAAGTCAGACTAAGTTATGGTTAGCATTTCAGATTAACTTTTGTTCTCCTAAGCAACACAATACTAATAGGTTAACTAACCAATTCTTACTTATTCCCTTTTTACTTATCATACATCACAAATACTAGGCCATACTCCTCTCCCATGGAGAAGAGTTCTGGAAGAAGGGGTTATAACACAGTGGAGCTAGAAGGTAGAGAATTTTCTCTCTATGCCTAGAAGAATAAGATTGTACTTGTACTTGAAAAGAAAGAACTAGAAGGATATGAAGTTCATTTTAAATAATATTAATTATATATCTATCACATTTGAATCTGATAATAAATTACCTTTTTGTAGTCTTTCCAAAACAAAACCTTATTATTATATCAATCAACTAATTAAAACTTGTTTAATGCCATTACCCAATAATCTTTTGATAGCAATTGAAAACTAGCTGAAAATCTATTGATAGCAAACATAAAATATTTCATCCTAGATAGATTACCTAGCTGAATAGAAATCTAGGTAGTGTCTATACTAGTGGATTGACCCTAGCAAGGTCATGAAACACTCAGGTCATCTGGAAAAGGGACCAGATTGTCTCTAAAGTTCTTATAGTTTATAAATCTATATTTTAGTTTTAATTTCAATCAAATACTATTTAAGTGCCTACTAAGTAAAAGTACACATGGATTATACAGCTTACAATCTAACTTTACTACATATTATCTAAACAAAAGTAACGGGAAACACAGGCTCAATATGATTGTAGTCAAGTAAGGTTTCTAAGAGATCGAATGAAGAGAAACAGAATTGAGAGTTCAGGGGAGTAAGATGTAGGAAGAAAACAGGGGCAGCTTATTTAACTTACACATTACACACAGCATAGAGTGAGGTTAAAAATACAGGCATGCACAAAACAATGCCAACTTAAAAATCAAGAACCCCCATCTAACAGACTTCCCAAAAGTTAAAAGTGATATTCCTACTTTATCTTAATATCTAAATTTTTAAAGTTTAAAGAATTAGAATTTTAAAGTTTAAATGTAGAATTGTTCCACTGTATCACATAATATTTTTATTTCACTTAAGATTTTTTTGATCATTCACCAAAGAGTTCTTGAATTCATCCTATAAACTGAGCGCTATGTAGGAGTTGTGAGTTTTGAAAAAGGTATTTTTGTACATGAAGAGCTTAGATCTATTACAAATAGTAGAATAAGATAGTTTCATAAATCACATTCAAATGGTATAGCACATGCTTAATCAAATCTGGCCTACAGAACTTATAGATAGTCTTAAAAATCTTATATCTCATAATGACATGTTCTGGAGAATATCTTGATTAACACAAGATTTTAGTGATGAAGCATAGTCTATTTAAAGGTACATATAGGTTCTATTCATTGCTCAGAAATGATCTAAAGTTTAACTCAGTCTAACTGTTAAAGTATATACATTACAGGAGGTACAAAAGTAAGTCATAGCCCTTTGGGCATTTGTATTTAGTATTCATTAAAGTTGGAAAAACCTTGTGGGAATAAAAGGTGCAAGGGCTATGAGGATTCAAAACTGAGACAATCTCTCTTACAGAAAGAGTAAAGGCTTTCTGGATAGAGAGATGATACACAAGAATCTTGAAAAACTATCAAGTAATGGGTTTGTTTGTAAAGTGCAGTGAATGGTAGAAATTAGTAAGCAAGTGAGAGATAAATGCTCTCTTATTACATCAGAACCTTCACCTAATGACTATTCACAGGTTTTCCCTAGGGACCTTTTAGGGGGCTGGCATGGGTGTAGTCAAGATCAGTGTTCTCAAGAGTTATCCCTATATTCTGTTGAAGAGAAATTAGGTGTGGTATTCTGTTGAAGAGAAATTAGGTGTGGATGTAAAATAACGCTCAGGGTGGCAGAATCCTGTATCACATCATTTAGGGGATCTTGGAGAATCACCTATGTTCATGAATCAGCCTTTGATAACAAGGAATAACAGAAAATGATTATACAGAGTGTGACTCATTCTAATAACAGTTCATGTACTGCTGGATTGTTTCAAGGAGACATAGTCCAATTACCAAATAAGCTTTCTGATTTTCCCATAGTTAGTTTGGACAATTTAGTTCAATACTATGAACTAAATTAGGCTTTTCTGGTAATGCCCAATCAATTGCTTTGCAATTCATTTTCCTTGTCTTTCCTTCCATTCTTCCTCTCCTCCCTTCCTTCCCACTCCAACTATTTCCTGCCTTATTCCACAAAGTATTTAAGGCAAATCAGCCACTACAGATATAAAGATATATCTATCTATCTATTATCTATCTATCTATCTATCTATCTATCCAATTTAGTGTCCCAAAATAACAAGAGACATTGGTTAAGTAGATTATGATTTGCTGATATTTAATTGTTTCCTAAATTTTCACACTTCCTCTGTTACCAAATGTGGAAACCCTGGTATACAGTAAAATATGATTACTGGAAATTATTGAATCTGCATAGTTGTGTCTCCATTAAATGTTAACTCTATAAATATATATTTCCCCATAGTTTCTTAGGCTAAGTTAACTATTTCTAGGTAGTGACACCAGCAATGGTCCTGAATCTTAGTTTCTTTAAATATAATTCTATCAATTTGTGCATTTGTCATTAAACATTATTTTATAAAAAATAGTAAGTTAAATAACCCCAACAGCTGGAAGAGAAAAAGATATTATTAATCACCAGTGAAAGCATAACTCTCCCATGTAGTATTCTCACCCTATTTTCTTCATTGATGCTAATGATATCCTCTGCCTTTCAGAATTATGATTTCTGCATGACTAACACATTAGGTCATAGCTACATCTTTGCCACTTTTCAGCCATTCTTCTGAAATACCAGTTTGCTTTAGATAGAGTAGATAAGAGACCCACAATTTGATGCATTTATCATAGTATTTTTATGAGATTATTCTTGTACCACCCATCATAGTTGACTTCTGTGATATACTTCATTGCACTGCACAGAAACAGGAATTTATTGGCAATAGTATTATATTTGGGCCACCAATGTGTATATGACTTGGTCTCCAAATTTATGAACTAAGTATTGGAATACACACAAATGCATACATTCACACACAAGAAAGGTATCCCAGTTCTCAAGGGCTAAATTATTCACAAAAACTTAATTGTTTACCATTCAGTTGTCTATTTCTTCCACCTTTGTGTTGAACCGCTACTATTACACACATCTTGTTTCTCTTTGCTAGGAGTCACTGTCTTTTTCATCTGTCCATTCTCTCTCAGGCTCTTTTTCTTGCTCTCTTATCTCCTGCCTCTTGTTCATTTTCTCTTCATTAATCCTTCAAAAGACTTTTCTTTCTTAGAGACTACTTGTCTTTAACTTCTGCATGCCAGTCAAATACTTTTGCTTGAAATCATTGGTATTGGGCTTTCTAAGTTTCATGTGTTCTTCCTGTTGGTGCCTCAAAAGTTCCTTCTTCACTACCATTGTTGGTAAATTCTAAATTCTGAAATATTCTGAATGCCAGGGTGTTCTCTAGAAAGCTCATCAACACACCATCAGGGTCTTAATGGTTTTTTAACATATACCTGTATCTACAAATCTTTTCTCATATATTCAATGTTTCATGCTTAGAGTTTAAATTAGTTCTAATATCTACAGCTATTTAATTCTGTGACGGAAAGACGATCTAGCTAAACTAGCCTCTCTATATAAATTGCAACATTCACTGCCATTAAAGTTGAGAGCAAGCTAATGGATTTCAAAGAGATCCATTTGCTATGTACAGACAGAATGCTGTGGGTGTCTTTTCTTTAAACAAAAATGTGATCTAAACCTCAAATTATGCCCCATATACTTACTTATTATTAACTAGAGGCCCAATGCACGAAATTCATAAAAGAGGCTCTGTCCCCCCCCCCGCTCGTCACCACTGCGGTTGCCTCTGCCTTGGACCCTGCCTGCCACTGCAGCTGCCTCTGCCTTGGCCCTCACCACCCAGCTTTGTCCAAAAGGTCATCTGGAAGGACGTCCAGAAGATGTCCAGTCTAATTAGCATATTACGCTTTTATTATTATAGATTTCTTGACATGGTTCTGGTTTAATTGTTTCTGGTCTATACAACAGATATACTGTACAAGTATAAAGCGTAGAAGATTAAGGGAAGTATACAGAATACAGAAAGCTAATTTTAAAATTGATGCTAAAATAAAAACCATTCATCTGGAAATTCAGAAATTTAAAAATTCATAAGAAATATGCACAATCTAAATTTAGGATTATAAACTATAATGAACTTATTAATAAAAATAAATGTATTCTATTATTTTTATTCTAGGTATAAAGTACTCCTAAATTTTAAATTTTATGTCTAGGATGAGTGAACACACTCGACACAGTCAAAAAATAAGTCAAGTATGTTACTGAATCAGAGCAGTCTGGGAATTAAATTTAGGGAAATTTTAGAAACAATAAGCAAAACTCAGATTTGTGACCACCATTGTAATTCAATCAAATATTCAATAGAAATAATCACATAGTGAAATCTTATACTCTATTCATTCATCCAATAAATATTTGGTTCTTACTTTGTGTAAGGCATTCAAGGGGATACAATGAGAAATATGCATGGACTTTGCCCTCATGGGGCTTACAGTCTAATATGGAAAAAATAAGCAAGCACTTAACATAACATAAGGGAGAAAGTGATGTGTCATAAGAAAGACTCAGGCAATGTGCTACGGAAGTCATTGACACTGACAGACATTTTTTTTACTGTTTATCTAAGTATCTATCAAAAATATAAAGAAAGACCAATGATCACCTTACAAACTTAGGTGCCAAATTTTGTGAATCTAAGGGTGAAAAAGCTGCAATATTAATACAGTTTAAATCACTACTCACTAGTTCTTAAAAATGTTGGATCACTGAGTAACGACCTATAAGAAATACAAATTTTCCAGTGTTTATAAGTAGATATAATAGAATAATCTAATATTTAGAAATAAAAAGATCATTTTAATGTAATAAAGATTCAATTTATTAAAAATACTCATGACACATTACCTTCTCACACAGAAATTGGCTCAATTAGATTAAAGTGATGAAGAATTCCTCGATGGCTCAAGTGTGCTCCAAGGAAAGCTAGAAGGTTGTACAGTTAACTCCCAGGGTATAACTCTAAACCATACAACCTACTACCTCAACCCGGATGCACACAGCTTCCACTGTCGCTTCAAACTCCTTATCATATCTTCAGTCAGCTCCTCCAAATATGGCGGCCATACACCTAAGGGCTTGGCAAGGATGTAGATATAATAGTCTAACATTTTACCAATTAGCTTACTCTGTGTCTACTAGGACTATCCTAACCTCTTGGGTTTCCAGCATAGGTCAAACAAAATGTCCTCTGACATCTCTCCCGGCATAGCTGTACTAGCAATTAATAATATTAAAAGTCAATAGCATTCAGCTTCCTTTTTCAAGATAAAAAGGCTTACTAGTAACACATAAATCCAAACATCTTTAATTTTCCTTTTGAAGTTGATGAGGTACACTAACCACTATAATGGGAACCGGAATTTCTGGACAGACTCTATTCAGATCTTGGTTCATAACTTGCTATTAAAAAAATCCAAGTTTCTTAAGCAATTTACCCTACATGCGATCAAATTTGAATGGCTTTGCTGCAAACTCTTCCAAGTGGTCAACAATTAAACCTGCCTTGTAAGACAGATGAGGATTAATATATACATAAAAAAAACAAAATATAATTACTTCAAAAGTAATCAACTAGATTTTTACAGGAGTTTGATTGAAATATTAGTTAACATCATTGTGTATAGGATTTTGTCACATCACCACACTGACACAGACCCATAGAAACGAGCTTGTGCGGTCCACTTCACCACAAGATCGGATCTACGGGTTTATGCCAATGGGCAACATCTCATTAGAGTAGGATTTGTTGAAAATATCTGATGAAATTAGTAGATGAAAATAATAATACTGATCCTTTAGGATAAATATGTTAAATGCTGAAATGCTCTAAGTATGCCTATCCCTTTCATAAATATTCTAAACTGAATGAAGATTTTATATACATAAGAATTTAAAAATACTATATTGAAAGATTTTTCACAGATTACTTATGTTTTAATAGTATTTTAGAATTAGACTATTCTAAGAAATGATGAGCTTTAAAAGAAAAAATAATCCATACATGCATGTATGAATTATGTAATTGTGAGGCATGAATATAGTGTTATGAGCCTTTAATTAAGACAAAATTAACTATTAAGCTAATTGTGTAAGAGTTAGCCTGTGTTTGTTCTAATTCTTACAAAACTTCAGTTAGTGGTTTCAAGGAATTGATAACATATAACTTTCTCATAAATAAGTAAAATTTTGTTGACTAGGCAGAGTACTGAAGGAAGTTATTTAAAGTCCTAAATATAGCTGGCCTTACTTAGAATAATACTGAAATTAACAATACTTAGATAAGTAAATATTAGAAAACTAAATTAATCACACATTTCTAGCATTATTACTACTCCTGTGCACTAACATTTATTCTCCAGATCTATTCCATAAAACAGGATATCATCTCTCTTATACACCATATATTTAAATGTATTTTTCAAAAATAATTTATTTAAAACATAACGTATGACTACATACATCTCTCATCTTGTCAACAGGTTGGGTTTATTAAAAATATTTAAATCACCAGACCATGATCAAACATACAAGAATAAACATAAAGACAGCCACATATATGTTTTTTAAGACTCTAAACTCAACAGCAACAAAATTATAACTTGTGCACTCATTAGTTGTTTTACGCATATCCACATATTTAGCATTTTTCAATTATACCTTCATTGTGAAAAATAGTAGCACTACATAAAAATTACTGTATCTTTACATATTTTGAAATAAATAATATAAAATGTGTTTCATAAACTTTACACACAGAATTTGGTCTCCATAATTTTTACCATTATTTGTTTTCAAATTATTCTAATTAATAAGTTTAAAATATTAACATTCAAGATTCATGCATTCAATTATAGTAAAATATTTCAACATAAGTTCACAAATTCAGATGTGAAATAAATGGTAGCATCTGTTTTGGGTTTATCATAACTATAAAAATGTATATTTTGGTTTCATTGTCTTATTAGAGCATATGTTTTTAAAAAAGCATGACTTTATTCCCTCCTCCCAGATTTCACTTCCTTTTATATGGCACAACAAATTATAAAATACACTTTTTCCTTTTTCCTAAACAACTTCCTATTCAACCATATTTCAGCTATGTTATATGTATGGATATCTAGATATACATTCAAAGTGACTCAAACAGTATATTGCTCACAAACTCAGACAAAAATTTTTCAGAGGCGGGTAATATAAATTATCAAACCATCAATTAAAATCCCAACAGCTAGATTCATAAAGAATATGAAACTAATTCTTATAACTAACACAGTCAAAATTATTTTTAATCAAAATATTAAATATTAATTGCTTTTTTACTTTTTATTTTTACCTGAGATGATTTTCTCCTATGATCACTTTCTTCACTTCTCATATCCATTTTAAGTTTGTCCCTAAAACAACCACAAAAGGAGAAATATCAGACAACAGCTGTCTAGAAGGAGCATCTGGGTGGATGGTGGGAGTGAAGGTAGACGATCGAGAAGAAAACACAATATCAAAATGGGCAAAACCTTTTAAACTATTTTTTTTAAGGCTTGGAAGACTCATAGAGCCCCACCCAAGGCTACTCATATGACATATAATGTGGCTTCATAGTTTGCATTTATGCATTCATTTTGGTTGGTGTTATTTCCACAGTAACAGGTTTGAAAGTGAAAGGAGGCATGGCTGTTAAAGAAGCGACTAGGTTTTGTACAATGAACTAGTGAAGGCTGAAAAGAGATTTGGATTTGGCATGAGCTTAATAAGATAATTAAGAGTGTGGAGATTAATGGTTTCTAAAAATAACATTTAAAATAATGTTTTTCAACGGAAGGATCTTGAAACATGAAAACAGGTTTATAAATGTTAATTAGGACTGTGAAAGTTGATGTTCCATTAGCTAAGGCAGCATAAAGGAACAAAAGCTATTTAAAAAAATAATTAGGGAACAATAACCCATAAACTTAATAAAACATTTTATTTGAATGTTATCAGTGTATAGGATATTTCTAATTCCCCATAATTCTTTGTAGAATAACCAAAAAGAAAGTAGAATTCACCAGTTCTATATTTATTCATTGTTTCCCCTATGTTTCTTCAATATAATGAAATATTATTTTAAAACCACAAGTTTGCTAATGTTTAGTCTTTTCATGGAAAATATGATAGTATCAATTTGTAATATACAGATTATAGGCTTCATTTACACATTCTATAATTTCAAAAGCATTTTATATTTTAAACAATTTTAAACATAATTATAAAGTTTAATCAAAATTAAAATAGGTAGAATACATCTGTTAATCCTTACCCACTGAATGAAGCAAAACTGGGTTTTACTATAAAATACTTCAATTCCTTAGCTACTTAGTTATACAAACAGACATAATTATTAGAATGCAATGTATTTATCTGCTGAGCCAATACATTACTAGAAACTTAAAACAAGTTTATATGTACTTTTTCCACTAAAATACTTAATGGCTATTTCCAATGCACTCTGCAACGGCTCTAAGACAAATGCTTCTTTTAAAGTATATTTTAAAAGACAGTATTATTGTGAAACAAGCTTCTTTTCTACTTAGCAACTGAGAACATAATCTTTTCAGCCCTATTTTGGTTATACTGAAATCCTGGTAAAATATTTAAATAGAAATCCCCCCTAGCTAATTTTCTTTACCAGCATTTAAATGCATATTCTAATATGACCCCCTTTTTTTTAGGAGTCCAAAAAGTTTCTCCTTTCACATTTAAAATTATGCATCACAAGCACATGAAAGATTTAGTTTCTTTAGCAAATAGGGCTAAACGCTCAGTTTTCTTAGATAGCAAAAACTAATCCTGTACGCAAAAAGCACAGATAACATATGAATGTCTTTCCAAACTTCTATGTATATCAGAAATAAAAACATGTACCAACTTTTTCATAGAGATTTTTCTATTTTAGTTAATTGCTATTCTAAACAGGATTAGAGCAAGAGAGCAAAAGGAAAAAGTTAATAAGAGTAAAGTGGGTGATGAGTTAAGAGTAAACTGAAAGTTCAAGGATTCCCTCTTAGAGAACAGTAGGCTTAAAAAGAACAACAAAAAAAGTTATACCTGATATGAAAGGTGCGATTTCACCAAGTGCAATACATTGCTAATTAGGCCTTATTTTTGAAATAATAAAAGAGAAGAAGGCTCATTTGCTCATGAAGCCTTACAAAGCTGCTTTACAAAGCTCGATGCCTCTGTAGTTATACAAGCCAATGTTTGCTTTTTTTTTTTTTTTTTTTTAGTTTGTTTTGGTTTGGATTTTTGTTTGTTTTTGTTTTTGAGCAGGAAAGTCTCATTTTTTTCATCACTGTTGCATGGAGTGGGACACACTCAGGTTTCTTTTTTTGCATTTTTTTTCTTCAGGGCTCCTGTTATTTCTTGCAAAAAGGACCAGGGTGCTCGTCTTCTTTTTCTTCCTTCTCGGTATTCCAGGCACAAAGCACTGCGCAGAAGCCGCACCAATCCTTGCCGGCCCTGGCAGCGTAGTGGTCGAAGGTGGGAGAGACCAGGAATCCTTCCAGGCTGTGCTGACTTTAGAAATGAGGATTGCACACGTTGGTCTCCTGAACCAAAAGGGTGAGAAGGCAGGGTGCCAGTTTGCTACATTGCTGCAATGATCTCATGATCACTGCTGCTGTCGTCCTGTTTGCCCAGTTCAAATGCCTGTTCATTATAAACCAAAAAAAAAAAACAAAACAAAAAAAAACCCACAAAGAAAAACAAAAAACAAAAACTCCTTGGATTCTTCAGCAAGCAGAAATGATACGAACATTAAAAAAAAATCAGCAGTAAGAAAAGGCAAAAAACCGAAATGCACAACACACAATTTTAGGATTCACTTGTTATGCCTCAATATTCTGTTTATATTTTCCCCCCTTTTTTTCCTTTTCCTATTTAGAGATAAGCAGCAGAATTTATCAGGCGTGAAAGGGACAGCCTCCTGGTGGCCTGCCAAAAACCCAGAATAAAGGCGAAGTTGTGCTTCAAAGCTCAGTCGCTTGCTGAGACTGGCTAAAGTCAAGTATTAAGATCCACCATTTTCTGAGCCGGGCTAGAAAAGAAGAAAAAAGTCAGGACGGTTGCTGCTATCCAAGTCTCCGTTGGCACCATCACAAAATCTCAGTCGTAAGGTCACATGATTCTCTGCCAAATGTAGAGTGCGTTCCCATCAACCATTCTGCTGATACTGCGAAGGCAGCTATTGTCTCGTTTAGACCCAAAGTTCAGCCCACTCTTCATTGAATTAGCTGAAAAAAAACGCATCACCTTTGGGGGCTGGGAGTCATGGAAACGTCTACCTGGCAAGCTGCCCACTTTTTCTGCCCATCAACCAGAGATGGAATTGTGCTGCCTAATGCAATGATGACTTGGAATGTGAAGAGTCGTCCAAAGTGAATCTGATTCTTGCAATGCCTGTTTGCACAGAAAACTCTGGCTTCTTGTAGTTCAGGGGCGGGGAGAGAAGAATCTTTCCTACTAAATGTAGCAAAAAAAAAAAAAAAGGTCTGAACATGCCTACTCTGCAACTTTATTTCACAACACACCCAAATGGCTCTCAAATGAAAAGACTGACCGCCCTGCAAGTTTTCTAAGTTGAAGGCACCCTTTCTCTGTTTCCTTTTCCTCACGATTGAACGCAACAAGCAACACGCCCAGGACATTTGTTTTTATTTCTCACATTAAGATTTAAAAGCTCGGAGAGTCTTCTTGCGTTTTATTACTTTCTGATTTAATCTGGTACTGATTTTGTCCTACATGGCCACAATATCCACTGGCAGCAGTGGGGACGCGTGATTCTTGCCATCGCCCTCCAAGTGGCCCCCTGAGAGAAGAGCCAGTTGTCTCTGAGACCACACAAAACCCTGCGACTGGGTCCCGTGGTAATCTCATCGCCACCTAGCACAGCTGCTGTGCTTGTTTGCTGAGATTGACTCATGTAAGAAGTGCTCTTTCTGTTCCTTCACAAGCTACAGTTTGCCTGTCTTGCATGAAAGATGCCTTTGAAAGATGCAGGGAGTGTATCAACAGCTCTGAGGCAATAAAATGAAACGGTTCCCCCTCCCCAATGAATTTCCATTCTAGCAGGAGACCAAAGTTCCCATGGACAAACATTTCCATACTTTCTTAACAAAAGTACAGTGAATTAAATCTTTCACCATTTTCTTAAGCAGAATCTAAAGCCAAGCGGAAAAGCAAGTCTTACTAGTATTTAAACCAAACATAGTCAGTAGTATCGAAAACAATCATGTTCTCCTACCTGCATTAAAAAAAATGTTTTGATGATGGGAGGGTCTTTATCTAAAGTATAATTTTGTTTGCAAAAAATAAAGTTATATTAAGGGCTTTACAAAATGATGGACTAATGTTACCCCTCTTTCATGTACACATACACATTGCATAATGCATGACAAAGATATAAAAAGATAACCAAACCATGACTTGCCTAATAAAAGAAAATCATCCAAAGTATTCAAGGATCTAAGGAACATATCCTAAAAATAGTCTGTGGTCTTTTTTTGTATCATGATTTTTAAGGTCATTTTCTTTAGAAGCAATAGGAATGAAATGTGCTCACGCGCGCACACACACACACACACACACACACACAAACACACACACCAATACACACAAGAACTACTAGTATTCTGGTGTCCTCCCTATTTGTAATTAAAAAAAATTATAAACCATAAAACAAAAACTAACATATGTGCGGAAATTAAAATTGCTTTTTTCTAGATGGTGAAATTCTGCACAAATTTTGCTCATGTCCTAACATGTGCTTAGAGTGCCTGGTAGGGAATCAAGCATGGTTTGTAGACACATGGGTCCCATGCCACAGCATAGCAAGAAAAAAGTAGATAATCTCTAATAGAAAGAAAAATTTTAATTGTTAGGTCTCATTCACTTTTTCAGCAGATATTTATTAAGTAAGTATAATAAGCACAGGGGAACAGTAATGAATCACATGGGCAAGCCCCAAGTGGCAGTCATTCAGGAAGAACTTTCAAGTGAGAAAAATTCACTTCTAAATAAGTATTGCTAGTCCAGAGGGAGCATTTATTGGCGTCAACCTAGCCAAGAACCATACTAGTATAAATTGGAAAGTGGAAGTGAAATGGAGATTAAAAAACAAATTAGGGATAGAGATGCATTCTCTGTCTTGTTTTCTCTTTTTAACACAAAATTTACTCATCAGTTTTTCATAACTCTGCTTAACTTCCTTACAGAACCTAATGTGAAAATTGTATATTATCCTCTCAACTTAAAAAATGAAATTAAAGAGAAAAGAAAAAGAAACAGGAAACGTTCTCTTTCAGGAAGATGGAATAGACTTAGTTTTTCCTAATACTATTGCTAAATACGACTAAAAACA